TTCTTCTTCTTCTTCTTCTTCTTCTTCTTCTTCTTCTTCTTCTTCTTCTTCCTTCTTCTTCCTTCTTTTCTTCTTCTTCTTCTTCTTCTTCTTCTTCTTCTTCTTCTTCTTCTTCTTCTTCTTCTTCTTCTTCTTCTTCCTTCTTCTTTCTTCTTTCTTCTTCTTTTTGTTTCTTGGATCACACCCGGCAATGCTCAGGGTCACTCCTGGCTCTGCACACAGAAATTACCCCTGGTGGTGCTGGGTATCAAACCCGGGTCAGCCGTGTGCAAGGCAAACGCCCTACCCACTGTGCTATCGCTCCAACCCCCCTCTGAGTACTTCTTGGGAGGACCCTTCTCACCTCCTAAAAGTGAGGGAAGTCGTAGAATAAGGACACATGCATTTTAAATAAGATGGGAAAATTTGATAATGAGAAAGCATGGTGAGTGTTACTATGGAGATTCATTGAGATGAGGTTACAGGGAAGATATATATATATATACATATATATTACATATATATAAATATATGTAGTACTGAGAAATGACTCTTGGTAGGTGTGTAGGAAGTCTTCATTTTTCATTGTTTTAATTCTGTACTAGAAAACAGTTTCAGGGCTAGAGCGATAGCACAGCGGGTAGGGCGTTTGCCTTGTATGCGGCTGACCTAGGTTTGATTCCTCCACCCCTCTCGGAGAGCCCGGCAAGCTACCGAGAGTATCTCGCTCGCATGGCAAAGCCTGACAAGCTCCCTGTGACATATTAGATATACCAACAACAGTAACAACAAGTCTCACAATTTGTTGTGAGACATTACTGGTGCCTGCTCAAGCAAATCAATGAACAACGGGAGGACAGTGCAGGACAAAACAGTGCAGGAGAATGAAATAAGAATATATCAATCTTGAAGTTGAAATTTGGGAAAGTAGGCATTGTGGATGCCGAAAGTATTTGGGATCCTCTACTTGAATTTAGCACCTTGGTGGCCTATCAGGGAGTAGGGACAAAGATGAACTTATATTACAGCAAAAGTTTGCCAAAAATCATTCCATATCCAAAATAATAGAGGAAAAAAATGGAACAAATCATTCCCTTGTCCCTCCAACTTCTGTCTGTTTCTGAGTGTCCTTTTGAGTTCCCAGGATTCAGGCAAGTTCTTGAGTTTTTGAACCATGAAACCTGGTGACCATTGACATCATTATTTTGATTAAGAAATGTGCTCGGTCATCAAACAACAACTTATTTTTTCTAAACAGCCTGATTTTAGTTTTCCCAGTGATTGCGGTGTTCCCAAAGCAGAGTTGGAATCGCCAATAGATTGTTTTTCTACTAAGTCGTCTGTTCTTTTCTGTTCTGGATTGTGCAAAAAAGTTAAAAGTACAAGTAGTTTTTATCTGATCAAAACAAATAGAAGACAAAAAGCAGTCATACATTAAGAAAACAGTAAAATATAAAAACAAGAGGCAGGTGGCTTGAAGAATTTGGGTATTGATAGTTTTCTACTCTATCTATAAAATGGGGATAAGATAGTATATATACAAGATGGGAAGTATATTTTTAGATAGCATTCATAGCACAGTTTATGGAACATAATGATTGTCTATCAAAATGTAATTTAAACTTTTAACTAATTAAAAGGCATTGTGAATTTATAATCAATCTTTAAAATCTCCAGCAAATAAGAGTGAAACTTTTGTGGCATATTTTTATGTCACTAAATATTCACATTCACATATGTTGAACATAAGGAATGAATGACATTGGGTCAGAGGATTAGTACTCTTGAATTGCATGAGTCCAACCCAGGTTCAATCCCCTGCAAACAAGAAACAATAACAAAAAAATAGTTAAGTATGCATACTACACTAACTTATTATTAAATAGGGGCTGGAGCAATAGCAAGCAGGTAGGGCGTTTGCCTTGCATGAGGCCAGCCCGGCTGACCAGGGTTTGATTCCTCTGCCCCTCTCAGAGAGCCCGGCAAGCTACTGAGAGTATCTTGCCCGCATGGCAAAGCCTGGCAAGCTACCCATGACGTACTCGATATGCCAAACACAGTAAAAACAAGTTTCACAATGGAGACGTTACTGGGCCCACTCGAGCAAATCAGTGTACAATGGGAGGCCAGTGCACAGTGCTATCATTAAGTAGAAATAAGATTGACTACAAAATATAACTAATCTTCAGCTATTCTTAATCTCTGCTTAACGTAACATGATTTCTTCAAACTCTGACTTGAGTAGAACATACATTTGAATCAACCTGAATGTTTTCTTTAAAATAGAAATATCATACAGGGAATAAATAGAGACTTGCTTCACTGATATGTATCTTCAAAGGTCATTGAAAGTGTTTTTTCTACAATATGAAGAAAAATCTGTAAAGTAGATCATTTGATCTTGCAGTTGGAACTATCATTTTCAAACTGTCTTGATTGATTGCATTACATTAAAAGAGAGTTAACACACAATTGTCTTCAGTATTTTGAGGGATGATTTAATTGTGGTTATTATTGGTGAGATGGAGAAAAATAGTATCAGAAATTCATACTGGTTGTTATAGGATGCAGCTGACATGGCCTTTGGGAAATCTCTTTTTAACTTCTTTTTCCCCTCTCCTTTTAAATTTTGCGATGCTTTTGTTTTTGTGTTGCACCCAGCAGTGCTCAGGGCTCACTTCTGGTGACTTGGGGGACCTATTGGGTGTGGGGAATGGAACCCTGGTCAGCCCTGAGCAAGACAAGCACCTCCCCCTCTCCACTACCTCTGGTTCCTTTAATTTCTTGATTTACTTTATTCTAAAGAACAGGTAAAATGATTTCCATTCCCAACAGATTCAATATTTAGGGCTCTTAAATTTCCTAAATGCTTAAAACATTTTAGAGCATTTTTGATGGAGGTGTGACTAATAAAACAAAGAGATTGCAACTGGAAGAAGTAATTCACTTCCTTAATAGGCTCTGTTTTGAAATAAATTCCTTCGGAGTTGTTGGCAGACCACACAGGGTTGGGGGGTTTTGTGTTTTTCTTTGACTTTCTGTTTTCCTGGCTCCGTGTCTCACATTTATTTCAGATAGGCCGAAGCTGGGCTGGAGCACAGTGGGTAGGACGTTTGCCTTGCACGTGACTGACCCGGGGACCTGGGTTGGATTTCTCCACCTTGGAGAGCCTGGCAAGCTACCGAGAGTATCACTCCCGCAAGGTAGAGCCTGGCAAGCTCCCTGTGACGTATTCGATATGCCAAACACAGTAACAAGTCTCACAGTGAAGACGTTACTGGCGACTGCTCGAGCAAATTGATGAACAACAGGAGGACAGTGCTATAGTGCTACAGGCCAAAGCTACAGCAGTGATGCCCATTTTGTTGTTGCTGAGTTAAAACCTTTTTATTTTATTTTATTTTTTTGCTTTTTGGGTCACACCTGGCGGTTCTCAGGGGTTACTCCTGGCTCTGTACTGAGGAATTACTCCTGGCAGTGCTCAGGGGACCCTATGGGATGCTGGGAATTGAACCCGGGTTGCCACATGCAAGGCAAACGCCCTACGTGCCGTGCTGTCACTCCAGCTCCTGAAACCTTTTTAGTTCCATCCACGTTGCTATAGTAAAACTTTTCTATCTTGTTCCCTTCAGACTTTTGAAATCTGAAATATGTCAATCTATTTAAAGATGTTAGCAATTTTGAAAACTGCCTTTCGAAGCAGCTCATTCCTCTCTGCCAAGTCTCTTCAATTCTCAATTGTTCCACGAGTTTTCAATGGTTCTCACGCCTCAGAGGAGTTAGTGTTGATTTTCGGAGATAAAATAGCAGACCACAAAAAAAGTAATTGGGTGCTGAAAGGTTTTTGGTTGTCTCTGTGATCTTTGGGAGATGTTTCTGAACTTAAGTAGACATCATCAGGAATTTATCAGGTTAAAAACACCATGAGATTCATTTCCTATTCCTAAAAGCTGCAATCACTATATAAAAGGTTGTTCCACTAGGAAATGGCTTAAAAATACTATTGATGCTACTCAGCCCTTTCAAAGATACATATTCCACCACAAGAACCTTGTAATCTGGCACAACTGATTTGAGGGCCTGGAAATGTGCATTTCCACTTTTATTAAAGTACGGGAAGCATTTTGACTTCCTGCTACAGTCCTTCCTTCTTGCCCTGGTTATGAGCAGAAGATGGTGGGAACCAGTATGCACCAGCTATCTGTCTTCAACTTCTGTTGGGAGAAGAATGTCATACAGAGATCCTCTGGAATTTGTCTGACTTTTGATAATGTAGTGCAGAACAGTTCTGAAAATAAAGACGGAATTGTTGTGTCCATTAAGAGAAGCATGTCTCATCATCGTTGCTTTTCACTGGCAGACCGTTCCTTGTATGAGGATTCTGTTTCTCAGAATCTTTCTGTGTCTGTGCTCTGGGAATGCTGGAACACAGAGACTTTGCTTTTGAGAGCGGAGTTCGACTCATACAAGGAGCCTGTGTTCTGCAGATGGTTGGGCATAGAAGGATATTTAGTATCCAGGAGAACTGAGACTGAGAAATCCAATAGAAATGCCATGGTCAAATACAATGTTTGTTTCTATTATATTGGACCTCGTAATAGAAAACATTAAATTAGCCCAGGAGCATAGCATTTAGCATGGCATAAATAGGAGATCTGATTTGCTGTCCTATCTCTGCCTAATCGGGAAGGTTAGCTTTGATTTTATGGCTATTAGAAGTTTCATTATCCTCTCATAAGCAAAGCCACTGGACCTAATCTGTATTCATCCTAATCAAATATGGATTCTTACAGAAAGAATCAGGTTATATGCTGATTTTAAGAACCATAAACCTCAGGTTATATGCTGAATTATAACACAAAAAGTTTTCTGAGAACTTGGTATGTGTTATATTATTAGATTTTTTCTCCTTTATCTACCGAGCTAAAAGGAGGAATCCCAAGATTAATAGTAATCTTACAATTCACTTCACATGTGTAATTTAGTTGTACATCTTGGTCATCTCTTTTTTTTTTTTGTAGATATTAACTCAGTCATGCACTGAAATCCTGGAACTACGACCTTCAAGTGTTTGTGTCGGGGGTAAGTAGTTGAAATTTTAAGATACCATGAGAAAAATTTGTGTATATACGTATACATTTTTTAGGTTAAAATACATGATTTGAAATGCATGCTGGAAAGAGAATAGTAAAATTAACTTTTTTTGGCATCCTCTCTGTAAGAATTTTTAAATAATTCCTTGAAATATTTCTATTTTAAATTCAAATTTTTAGGATTGGAGTGTTATTTTAAATAATGAACATATTGTGTGACAGGCTTTTAGAATCTTTTGTATATTTAGTTCAAGTCTGAGACCTTTCCCGTGACAAGTAAAATAAAATATGAAATCTTTGATTTGATTATATAAATAGTGCTATTGGGACAGTTGGAAGCTCCTTAGTTTGGTGACCTGTCCAGTGTTTATTATTTGCTAGCTCAGGAGTGAAGTGACTTGAACGGCTGTCTGGGAGTGACTGTTATGCTTCAGTTCTTGTGTCTTGGTCACTATTAGTAGAAATTTTATTTGAATAATCTCATTTTCCTATAGAGTATAAGAAAATAGAGTTGGAAATACAACCATGTTTTCATGGTTATAAGTTGGCTAAATAAATGGAGAATGCGTTTTGGAACTGTCAGGTTATGTCTTTGATATCTTGTTTTGTAAAATAGTGATTAAATATGTTTTATTTTATATATTTTTACTCCTAGAGGAATTTAAAATCCTTTTAAACGGAAGAGGATTCATCTTGGGAAGTCGAAGTGACAGCATCCTCTGTACTTTAACTATAAATGAAACATACACAATGAGTAGGTTCTCCCTAATTTTAATATTGATTTAATATCCGTACCTCATTTCGGTATCCAATGTCTTCTCTAATTGAAAACAATTGCTGTATGTATTTTAAATTATCAGTTTATTAAGGCAAAATTAGTTTATGGCTGTATGAAATGTTTACTTTTATAGATATGTTTTATTTTGTAGATATGTAATAAATTGTGAGGTGATTACCATAGAACATCAGAGCGCTAGTGACCATCCACAATAATTCATAAGCCTCTTGCGTCCATCCACTTTAGCCCACCTCCCTTCCGGTGCCTCAGCTCTGTTCTAAGTCTGTGGGGTTGTAGGGCTAGAGGGATGGTATAGTGGATAGGGCTCGCCCTTTGCATTCAGTGAGGCTGAAGCCCATTCAGGTTCAATCCCCAGCACCACTATGTTTCCAGGAGACCTGCCAGGTGTGATTCCTGAGCACAGAGCCAGGAGTAAGCCCCGAGCACTGCCAGGTGTGACCTAACTCCCTCCCCTTACCCCTACCACCAAAAAGAAAAAAGAAACTTGATCAGTTTATTTTCATTGGATATTGTAATTTTTTTACTTTGTTTCTTGATACACAAACTGTGAGAGAGATCATCTGGGACTTGTCTTTTTTACTTCTGACTTACTCTTAGCATGAAGCCCTGAAGTTCCACCCATGTTGTGCAAAAAGCAAGAATTCATCTTTTGGTAGTCAAGTAGTATTCCACTGTGTATATGTACCACAATCTATCAAATCATTTCTCCTTGTCCACTTGAAATGTTTCCTGATATTTTAATTTATTTAGGCCACATCTGATGTGCTCCACTGGGAGGCATTCCTGGTGCTGTGTTTGGGGATCATCACTCAGCAGGGTTTGGGGGACCATGTGATGCCAGGGATTGAACCTGCATGCAGTGCATGTGCTCTGGCCCTTTGAGTCCTCCGCCTGACAGTTTCCAGATCTCAGCTATTGTAAATAATGATGCCATGTACAAAATTGTGCATGTATCTTTTTGAATTAGTGTTTTTGCATTGTTGGGGAGATACCAAAGAGAAGAATTGCTGAATAATGTGATTGCTTGATTTTTTTATTTTGTTGAGCAATCTTCAAACTATTTTTTCAAAAAAAGCTGAATCAGTTTGGAGGCTGGAGGAATAACACAGCGGGTAGGGCATTTGCCTTGCACTCAGCCAACCCGGGTTTAATTCCCAGCATTCCATATGGTCCCATGAACACTTCCAGGGGTAATTTCTGAGTTCAGAGCCAGGAGTAACCCCTGTGCATCCCTGGATGTGACCCAAAAAAGCAAAAAAAAAAAATGCTGGATCAGTTTACTTTCTGCCAACCAGGGAATGAGAGCTCTTTTTTTCCCCACACATTCCCATTAGTGTTTGTGGTTTCTGGGGTTTTGTTTATTTATTTATTTGTTTGCTTTTGTTTGTGTGTGTGTGTGTGTGTGTGTGTGTGTTTGGATATAGGTCACTGTCATGGGTTTGTTGTCACTGTCATTTTGATTTGTGTTTCCCTGATAATCAGTTGGAAGAAACTGTTTTTCATCTATCTGTTGACCAGTTGTATCTCTCCTTTGGAAAATAAAAGTATTTATTCAGTATTATTTTTATATTTTAATGGAGGGGGTCTTAGTTTCTTTGTTTTTGATTTGATTTTTGGGCCACATCTGGCAAATCCTAGGATTTACTACTGGTTTTGCACTCAGGAATTACTCATGGCAGTGGTTAGAGGACCGTATGGGATGCCGGGGATTAAAGTTGGGTTGGCCACATGAGAGGCAAGCATCCTACCTATTATACTATCTCTCCAACCTTAAGGATTATTTGTTTTTTTTTATGTAGAATTGGCCAGTGCTTTGTGTATCTTAAATATTAGCTCTTTTCCAAAAGTATGATGTATAAATATTTTCTTCCAACCAGTATGATTAATTTTTGTTTTAGTGATAGTTTCTTTTACAACACAGAAGTTTTTCAGTTTGACATAACCCCATTTAAAAATTTTTTTTTTTGCTTTTTTGGGTCACTCCCAGCGATGCACAGGAGTTACTCCTGGTTCATGCACTCAGAAATCTCTCCTGGCAGTGCTTGGGAGACCATATGGGATGCTGGGAATTGAACCTGGGTCTGCTGCGTGCAAGGCAAACACCCTATCTGCTGTGCTCCAGCCCCTAAATATTGTTTTTCTTGCTAATGGAATTGAAAGAACCACAGAAGATATTATTAAAGTCAGTGTCACTTGATTGTGTTTTCTGGATTTAGGTCTAACATCTATGGTTTTAATCCATTTCAAGTTAAACTTTGTGCCTGTTTATTTGACATAGTGTTCCATTTAAAAAAATTATGTTAGCAGATTTTAAATTTAGGTTTGTGTAAATGATTACAGTAGCATTGCTTTTTATGGTTTAATAAACAAAATTATTGCACGTTCACCACCATCGAAGTGCCTCAGATTCTCCGCCTCTGTCCTTATTTCACCTCTAATTTACCTCTTTACTCTTGGCAATCTCCTCCTCCCCACTACTTGCTAATCTCAGTTTTGCAATCAAATGAAATCCAATGATAACAAAGTGGCATTCATAATTAGTATTTAATGGTGGTCACATATGTGCAAACAATCAATGCTGGACCCTGTTCTAAATAAATTTCTTATACCTATGAACTTGTGGCTGAAAAGTCAAATAACTTGCTTGTAACAGAGCTAATAATGGTTAGAGTTAAGAGTTGGGCCAGTTTTCCTGGCTGTTCTTCATGGATTGTTTTAGAGGCCACTTCCACATTTTGCCATTCTTGTCTGGAAACCTAACAGTCTTGAGCTACTCTGCTGCATACGGACTTAGCTTGTCACCTGTTATCTATATCTTAATTCCAGATAATTTTTCAGAGTTTCTCAAAGATAAGTTTTTGCCATACGCATATGTGATGTTTCCAGTGCCTAGCAATCAGTGTTTGTTGATAATTGTTATGTTTATGGACATAGGGTTTTTTCCTCCACCAGTTTGAGTTTCAGAAATGCAGATAATAATGCCAGAGAGATAATACCGTTTCTGAGATGCTTGCCTTGCAAGCAGCCAGACTGGGTTCAATTCCCAGCACCAGATATGGACCACTTAGCACTGCCAGGGGTGATCCTTGAGCATAGAGCTGAGAGTAACTCTGAGCACATTCAGGTGTGATCCCAAATAAAACAAACAAAGCATCTGAGCGTACTATTTTCAACCTAATGATTTTGTGACTTCTGGTAGAATTGTTTTTCAAAAATTTCATCTACAATTTTGCTGTTTATTGGATGCTTCTAAATACTCCTGTTGGCACACCTTTGGGCACATATGAATGATTTTTTATGGAATAAGGTGCTAAGAATTTCAGCGTGGTAAATATTAATTCCTTTCTTTGCTACTTAGATCATCATTTTAGTAGGCAAGACAATACTTTCAACAAACTTTTTATTTCTAGTTTCCATGATGGAAGGGGATCAAATAATTTTATTTTTATTCAATACCATTGGTATTTTTATTCAGTAGCCATTATTAAAACAAATAGGCATTAGTTTTAACTTAGATTACAAATTTGATAATAAAAATTTGCAAAGTAGTTGATTTATACCAAAATAATATAAACATTTTTGTTTTGCTTTTGATTTCTGGGCCACTCCTGGCTGTGTTCAGGGTTTACTCTTGGCTTTGAGCTCAGGATCATTCCCAATGGGGTGCGAGGGACCATTCATAGTCCTGGGAATCCAATCCGGTTCGACTGTGTGCAAGACAAGCACCTACCTAACCCACTGTACTCTCTCTCTGGCTCTTATAAACATTTTTCTGTTTAGATACATGAGGATGTTTATAAAGCTAAATTATCAAATATATGGAGTCAGAGTTAATATTCATCATTCACATTCTAGGATTATTTATTTTATTATTTATAGTCTCTATTAATGTTTCTCAGTTAGGGTCCATATTGACAAATGTGGAATTTCCCAAATTTTCCAAGGGGATCGTAGGTTGCATAAACATGGGCCCACAGAATGAGACCAGGAAGCTAACCTATAGAATGGGGATGGGACACAAGGTCAGAGGGGACCACCATGAGAAAAGTTTGTGGAAACTGCTTTAGATCCTTTTTTTCCAGATGGCATTACAAGGGCTACTTAAGCATTCAACTTTATAGCATGTATTTGTTTATTGTGAACATGATATGTTTATTATGGCTGGAGCGATAGCACAGCGGGTAGGGTGTTCGCCTTACAAAAGGCCAACATGGCCGACCCGAGTTCGATTCCTCCGCCCCTCTCGGAGAGCCCGGCAAGCTACCGAGAGTATTCGATATGCCAGACACAGTAACAACAACAGTAACAACGTTTATTAAACTTGAAAAAAATTATTTTTGCTTTCAATAATTACTCATTTTTTTTCTCCATAACTTTAAAATTCTGCTTTTGAAATAGATACCCTTTACCCTTAAAATTTTATGTTATTTGCAAAATTGAAGGTGGGGAAAAATAATTTCATAGCATCTAAAAGTGCATGTAATCTTAGTCTAAATGAGAAATTGTAAATTGTAATTTATAATTAACAAATGCTGTATATATCAATGAGGAACGTACTCCACTTTTTATTATTCTTTCCACTTACTTAGATGAATATCATTTTGATGTTTCATGCTAAACTACTCACACTTAACTCTGTCCTTTACATACTATTAATGAAACTATGGGAATAAAAAGCCCTGTATTAACTCAGTGGTATTTTATTATTTAGGTGTCCATCCAGTGAGTGTGGATCTTAATTCAATGCTCTGTCCTGCACCTGCCTTGAATAAAGCTGGAGAGTAAGTACTTCTGTAATTTATTAGGAGATGGTGACAGATCTACTTTAGCTCTTTCATTGTATCTTTTCTAGACATACAGATTGAACCTGAAATAAGCCCTAGGCAGACAGACCATTTTGGTTTGCATTTAGTAGGTTAAAAATGGTGACGTCTGTTTTATTTTATTTGATTAAAGGGCTCTATGAGTTTGAGGTCAATTTGTTAGACATTTAAGATAATCAGAGCTATGCATGCTAGTTCCAGAGTGAGATTTTGAAATAATATGTAAGCACTGAAATTTTTGATTAAAAAGAACATGATTTTTTAAGGCACATCAAGGACTAAGGAATGTTTATGTTTTCATTTGTGTTGTGTTAAAGTGTGTGTGTGTGTGTGTGTGTGTGTGTGTGTGTGTGAGACTTGGTTTTCAGGCCATACCCAGTGATACTCAGGGTTACTCCTGGGTCTCCCTAAGTATTGCTTGTGGTGTGCTTGGGGGAACACAAGCGGTTCTGGGAGTTAAGCAGAGGTTGGCTCCATGCAGAACTCCATGCAGAACTAGTACTTTAACCCTTGTATTATCTTTTTATCCGAGGTCTATATTCTTATATTCATTGTATGGTAATATGCCATAATTAGAGCTGATTAAAAGAAATAATACTTAGCTTGGATGAAGGGCTTTTATGCGAATCACCTGTACACAAATAATTTTCACTAGTAATTTAGTATTTCCATTGTGATTTCTCCCCCTACTCTATTGTGAAGGAAATTATTTTAGTTCAAGTATTCCCTTGCCCAACAACTACAGAGTTGCCTATACTTAAGATAATAAATAAAATATAATTTCCTCAGCTCACTTTCTATTGACATTGTACCTAGAGTAGAAAAAAATAGATCTTACAAATCCCTAGTTCAGAAATCTAAGTTAGTGTTTAGAGAGTGAAGATTGTAATTTCCTTCATGGTGAGGAAGGGAGTTGTTTTATTTGGTTTGAAGTTGACTTGAATTATTAACTTTTATGAATGCTTTAATATTCAAGATGTCTATTGGCCATTACTTCTGAAACCTCACTTCAAAATAAATTGAACCAGTGTCTGATTTCTGTTTTAAATCATCAAACTCAGAACGTTTTGGGAAGGAGATCTGTCTAAAAAAAAATTCCTTTACTTCTTTTGTTTGATATGGAGTGCATTGTAACACTGAGACAGAACTTGGGAATTTATCTGCTAATGCATTTGGGGACATCATTATGTGTTCTCTTAAGTATGTTTCAAGTCGTACAGACCTTGTCTTTGCCTTTGACAGTTCTCAGATTCACTTGTAGGTGATGAGCTCTTTTATGAGACTGGATTAAAAACCACGCAACTGAAACAGTTTAGCCTTGTAAGGTGACTGATGCTTAATATGTTTACCTAATTAGCTTTTGGCTAAAGATTGGAACCCATTAAGTAGCTAGTTAGTCTATATTTCAAATAAACACATCTGGCCAACAATGAGTGAAGGTTTTTCCTGTGTGAGGGTGACAGATGTGGTGATGGTTCCCCTTGTTCTCGCACTTAAATAATTAACAACACTCTAGTGAAGTAGCCCAAGACAGACAGCCCCAAAGCCAGATGCACAGTCTCAGAGCTGCAGACACGGACATGTGTCTCATCTCATTAGCCCGCTCTCACAGTTCCTCTCTCGTATTTATGTTACTTCCTCAAATACATTTTGTTGGAGGATTACTGTGTTAAATGCACAGGGCTTTGTGAATTTGGGTTTGAAAGAGGGTTTACATGAAGATGTTTATATGGAAACGGGGACTAAAATTGTAGCTAAGTAAACAGGACTGAAGTTTGTATTTGGCACTTGATGTCATGGAGTAAACAGACGTGAAAGCTGTCTGGGTGAACGGATCCAGGTAGCTCACTCTTTAATGTTGTGAAAATGGATCTTTGAAGTTAACTCGCTTTGAGAAATCTCTCCTTGTTAAGTGTCTTTATTTGATAAAGATTTTTTTTTGGCATTTTGGTTCACACCTGGCAATGCACAGGGGTTACTCCTGGCTCTGCACTCAGGAATTACTCCTGGCGGTGCTCAGGGGACCATATGGGATGCTGGGAATCGAACCCAGGTTGGCCGCGTGCAAGGCAAACGCCCTACCCGCACCACTATTGCTCCAGCCCCTATTTGATAAAAAGCTTTAAGGCTAATATGAACTAATGCTTGAAACAGAAATAATGTACAGGTGGTAGTAGAGAGGTTATTCTCTTCTATTTCTTCCATTGGACACAATTTCATTTTCAAATGTCCTTGTGATTAAATTGTTTGACCAAGAAAAGGCTGTGGATGGTTTAGGAATGAATTTTTGCCAGTGGTTCATTTGTCCTCAGAGGTCTTCTCTGAGTTTGAGTAGAGGGACGGTGAGGTTCTTGGGATCCTCTGTGTTCTAGTCTGTGATTGGGTTACCACGCGGGGTACCACAGTCCCTCAGTGCGGGCTTCTTCTCTGACCCACATTTTGTGGTACCGCCACAATAGCACAGCTGCTCTGCAGTACTTGAGATCTCAAACCTGTAATTTGGCAAGAAGAACAGAACAAATTGGGTAAATATACATAAACACATTGTGAAGAAAGAAAAACAGAACAGAATGAATCAGAGCCTTATTCTACAGCTTGTTTGATAGAGATGATTTAAGGAGGCATATGGTATAGTTAAATGTGCTTTCAAAAACATTGGCCAGAATCTTCTGGCAAATATGAAATAAATATCTAAATCAGATGAAACTGATAGTATTAGTTCTCTTAAAAACCAGTGTGGGAAGACACTTGACAGTGTTTTGGGTAAGACGAGGTGTGATATCAGTATATCTGGAATATATTAAGTATCTGATACTCAGGAATCATAGAGATAAATGGTATGGCCGACTGAGGTTAAGAGTCTGATTTGGCCATAATATTATTTTATTGAACATTATTATTTTTCAATATAATTCATTTTCCTAAAATAAAATTGATTATTTTCATTTTTCTTTGATTAGGAAAATTTTATTCTTCAGCACAGATTCTCATCAACATGTCTTTAGAAAAACATGCCTCTGTATCTATGTGTATCTATATAATCCCTAATTCCACTATTTTTATTCCTTTTTTTGCTTTTTGGGTCACACCGGGCAATGTACAGGGTTACCCCTGACTCTGCACTCAGAAATTACCCCTGGCGATGGTAGGGAGACCATATGGGATGCTGAGAATCGAATCCTGGTCGGCTGTGTGCAAGGCAAATGCCCTACCTACTCTCTTGCATTCATAAATACATATTTATCTATGAATATTTTGGGGGACCTTAATACTGATACTTTGGTTTCCAAGGGCTGCTCCCACAATACCTACCTGGGTGGTATATGTATGCGTGCTTGGACCCAGGAAGGTCATAAAGCTTGGGTCTACAGGTGCTCGGGTATACTAAAGCCTCATGTGTTGAGAGAATCCATTAGAGAATCATTTCCACTTAGGGAATTAACAAATGGTAGAAGTCAACAGAACCTGAGAGCTTGTCTGAGGAAAGTGTACTAGGGGTGGGAGGGACTAGTGGGAATGGAGTGGACCTTGAGACATTGCTGGAGACAAGTGGGCACTATTGGTGGTTGGTTGGTGTTGGAGCATTATGTGCCTGAAACTGTCCTTCACAGCTTCATAAACCATGATGCCTCAGGAGAGTGGAAAAAAAAGAGAGTGAAATGAAACACACTTCAAGCACTGTTTTTATATTTAATTGCTTAGGTTTCTTCCATCCTTTCATTTTGATGTAAGTATCCTAAGGCTAGAGTAAGGTGTGACTTTTAGATGTTTTCAGGCATTTCTAAACAGTGTAGAGTCAATTGAAGAGAGAAAGAAATTCAGAGTTAGAGCTTCTCAGCCTGTTCTTGTTCCTAGCCACATACACCATCTGCTTGGGGCTGGTAGTCCTGTTTCAGAAGGTCCTTCCTTCATCTCTTCATCTTTCGTGACTTGATGATTTCACCTACTTGACTGTTTCCTTCTCGGATATCACTTTAATCTTCTATTTTTTTTTGGTTTTTTTTTTTCACCTACTTGACTGTTTCCTTCTCAGATAATCACTTTAATCTTCTTTTTTTTTTTTGCTTTTTTTGGGTCACACCAGGCGATACAGAGGGGTTACTCCTGGCTCTGCACTCAGGAATTAGTCCTGGTGGTGCTCAGGAGACCATATGGGATGCTGGGAATCGAACCCAGGTCGGCTGCATGGAAGGCAAATGCCCTATCCGCTGTGCTATCGCTCCAGCCCCATTCTTTCTCTTTTTTTAGTTTCTTTGGTATGAATGTTCACTGTGGTTGGATTTCTGACTTAACCTCATCTTCTCAAGATTTCCTTTTTCTTGCTGAAGAACCCCCAAACTCCTGATGAGATTTTTAAAAAATTATTCTTATTGAGCCAGTGAGATTAACTTTACTCATTCATTTTATGCACATTTCAGTCCAGCATCACACCCGTCACCAGAAAACCCGCTAGCCTCACTCCCAAGGACCCTTCCGACCTCACCTCCACCATGCAAGCTCACTTCTGTAGACAAAATCTCCAGTTTCGATAACTTGGCCCATTTGTTGTTTCCTTACTGTATTTATTTTTAAAAAATCTCATGTGTGGGAAAGATCTCTCATATTCTTTTAATCTTTACTGTGGAGGTGGTGATACTACAAACATATACATGAAGAGAGTTTATCCCCTGAAATTCCTGGCAAGATTTTCAAATAGTTTTAAATTCATTAGCCAAATACCAAGTATCAAATTGTCTACTAACTCACTTGCATTCCCCACAGGCACCTTAAGCTTGAAGTTCCCAAATTAAACTCATGTACGTCTGTTCCAATATTGCTCCTTCACCAATATTGTCTATGAAAGACTTTACTTACTTGTACAAGACAGAAACTTTAGGGTCCAGAGTAATACAGTGTACAGTGTACAGTGTACACAGTGTAATACAGAGTACAGTGGGTAGGGTGTTTGCCTTGCACACGGCAGACCCGGGTTCGATCCCCAGCATCCCTTATGGTCCCCTGTGCACAGTCAAGAGTAGTTCCTGAGTGCAGAGCCAGGAGTTACCCCTGACCATGACTGAGTGTGACCCAAAAAGCAAAACCAAACCAAAACCAAAACGAAAAAGACAGAAACTTTGAAGTCATCTTAAATCATTTCTTCTTTCTCGCTTCTGCTATTCAGTAAATGTTTAAATCCATAATGCCTCTAAGTTTTCCTTTTCACACTACCCTCATTGTCACCATTCAGTAAAATTCTGGTTTGGTTCTTATTTGAAATACATTAAGATATTCTTAACTGATTATTCTACAGCAGAAATTTATTCTTTGAGCCTTGCTCTCCTTTGTAATAGCAATGAAACACAATTCACTCAATATTTCTGCTTAGTTTAAAACTAATCGCAAATGTTTAAAGATGACATTTCAATGTTCTTCATGATCTCCCCCACTACTCTCCTTTTCAATCTCAAGCCATACATTTATTTTTATGCTCACACTATATATTGCTGTGGTATTCAATAACTTTTAGTTCCTATACTGGTCTGTGCCTTATTGACCTTCCGTCCTGACGAACAGAACTCCATATATTGCAGGATCTCTTTCTAATCTCTTTTCCAAACTACCTCCTGATGATTCTTTAGGATTCATCCTAAAGATAGGTTCCTGCAGGAAACCTTTGTTTTCTTCCTTGTAACAAGGCAGGGTCTTTTGTGCCTCTGAAATGGATTCCTTTGTTATAAAATTCTGTGTTTTATTTGCTGTTGGCAAGCACAGCCAACTATTGTAGTGCATCTGTAAATATTTGTTTAATAATCTAGTAATAGAATGTGTAATAGAATAACTTATTGTTATTCATAAAGCAATTTCAAAAGCATTTTTAACTTTGAGATTTAGGAAAACAGTTCAACAAAAAGCAGAAATTCTTCAAATTAAACAAAAATGTACATGATGATTCTTTCATTTCTGCTCTCCATTTTTCTGCCTTATTCATTTTAATGTGGATGCAAAGTACCTGGATACTCTTAATAATCTATCAGACAATTAAATTCTACCAAAATTTGTAGAATACTTTCTGGATTCCTGGCATTGTGTTTAATGTGTGTGTGTATGTGTGTGTGTGTGTGTGTGTGTGTGTGTGTGTGTGTGTGTGTTGGGGGGCTCACATATTAGTGCTCAAGGTTTATTCCTGCCTCTTCACTCATGGATCCTTCCTTGTGGGTTTGGGGGAACTTATCCCACGTTCACAGCTATAGAGACTTTAAAAACACAGAGCTGAAATTGTAAAAACTGGAGTTGACACTAGCATTTGCCAGTGATGAAGGTAACATCGTGTAGAAATAAAACTCTTTCACTAGTCAGTTAGGTGCAACTTGTGGGTGAGTTTCCCTTATAAACTTAGTTTACTCCTTTGGAAATTGGAAATGATACTACTGTTCTGTCAATGAGTTGCCTCTCAGTGAGAGTTAAATAGGAATATTAGTGTAAACTATTTTCCCTATTGTAAGAAATCCATAAACGTAGTCTTTATTAGTACTGTTTGCATGATAATATTTTGATCATAGTACTATCACTATTTTTTGGAAGGTGATGATTATATTTTCAGTTGAGCTATACATCAAAATAATTACCAGGTGGTTTTTGTCTCTTGAAGATACTGGCAACTCAACTCAGTCTTGTTTGACACAAGCACATTAGACCGTATGGAAATTTGGAGATAAAATAGTTATTTCAGTTGATCTCAAGATCTCATCAGCATATATTTCAACTGGTGGAATAAACTTTGTTTATTAGAATGAAATATATTACAAATATATCTTGTCTTTTTTATCCACTTGGATAAACATGAAAAGTTTTAAATTCTTCCTTTATTAAAGAATTGGCCCATTTCTGTTGAATTTTTTTTTCCTTTTTGGGTTGCATCCAGCAATGCTCAAGGGTTACTCCTGGCTTTGCATTCAGGAATTACTCCTGGCAGTGCTTGGGGGACCATACGGGATGCCAGGGATCGAACCCGGGTTGCCCGTGTGCAAGGCAAATGCCCTCCCCGCCGTTCTATTGCTCCGGCCTATATTTATGTTGAATTTTAAGTGCCAGAATAAGCTCCTTTAAGAGCTTAATAACTAAGATTACTTGAAATACTGACATTATTATGAATCAAATACAATCCTCCTTCATACTAATAGTTTATTATTATTTCCAGGTTTATATTCTTAAGTAATGATCCTATGATAATAATGTTAGGGACAAGAGAAAGTAAACTAAATGGCATCTAAAATCTGTACTGACACCCTTCAGAGATGTTTGTGACCCTGACATAATCTCAGCATTGCGGCGTTTCATTGAGTTCTTGTATCTGTTGTGTTAATACTTCCTTTGGGAATGCGAGATTACTTAAGGAGTTTGTTTCTCTGGGGTACTGAGGGAAAACTGCGATTAAGAAAGAGAAGTTCTGAGAAACTGAATCAGAAACTTAGACTCTTTTAAGTGGGCTCTCTGATTGGCTTGAGAATAAAAGTATCTGACACTTTAGATTTTAATTTATTGTTGTTATATTTTCTTTCAGAACTCTTGATGTTTCTGTAAGTTTTAATGGAGGAAAATCTGTCATCTCCAGCTCACTAGTAGTGACCGCCACAGAATGTGTAAGTAAAAAATTTCCAAAAATTGCTTTTTAAAAAGTAATTCTTCTTCAGAAGTGACTTTGGGTGTTCAGTGTTGTTTCAACTACAAAAAAAAAAACAAAATAAAGAAAAGATATGATATAATTCCTTCTACATAAAGAGCATCATTACAGGCTGGAGAGATAGTGCAGAGGGAGGGTGGAGATACTTAAATTCCTATCACCACATATTGGCTCTTGAGCAAAAGGTGAAAGTAATGATGACAATGTAAGGAAAAAATTGTCTAAACTTCATTTTAGATGGTTGTTTTTTCCCTCTAGCAACTTTAAATGGATTTTAATGCAGTATATACAGTTTTACTTTGATATATATCATTTTCAAAAGTCCCATTTAAAATCAAAATAAGTGGGCAGAGAATGTGGTTTAAAGTGATAGAGGGCATCCCTGAGTTTGATCCCTGGCACCACGTGCTCCCCAGAGAACTACTAACGACAAAAAGCCAAAATCAAGGAGGAGTAAGCGTTTCCAAATCAAGCACTTTTTTGTTTATATTCTGGAATGTAGCTCCCTGGTACAGCTCATCCCTGTGTTTGAGATCCCACATGGTCACAGTAACAACAAAATAAATATAGAAATGGAATAGTATTTTCCTACTAGGGTGTTTGAATATAGGTCTAAATGTTTTTTTTTTCTTTAAGTCATTACTATTTTTTAGCAGGTGGCCTTATTTTGCTCATCTTAAATATCGGTGCTTTCTGAAGTGAAGAAGAAATTGATCATGAGAATTTTATAGTATCAGTTTGAAATCATTTGTTAGTTGAGATGACGCATTTACATTACCTAAGATGCAATGTTTGAAACTGTTTTCAAATACCACTGATGACAGTGATTTTCCTTGTTGTTAATTTCTTGAATTGTTGGGAATTGTGCCATTAGATTTTTAAGCATGAAACCAAAAAGCATGACAAGGGAGTGATCATGTGATTTAATTCCATGTTCTATTTTTGTGATCACATGATTTAATTTGATGTTCTATTAAGTAAGCAACTTACACATCAAACAAAAGAAATTTGTTTAACCTTTAAAAGCTGCTGAAGCAGTTTCTCACATTTCCCGATGTATAGTTTTTATATCTCTTTATTTGGGGGGGGGTGAGCTATACCCAGTAGTCTTGGGTTCTACTTCTGACTCTGTGCTCTGTGCTCAAGGGCCCCTCCAGGCATTGCTTGGGGGATCACTTAGTGACAGGGACTGAATTAGGATCCCATTTTAACAACTGTGCTATTTCTTGAGCCCTTTGGTTTTTATGTTTTGATCTCTTGAGAGACTTCTTCAGAAAATGAAGCAGCTCAGTATTATTTGAATAAGGGTAGTTGTGTTTTCCATGGTTAGCTAACATTACAAAGAAACTGAATATCCACAGGAACTCCAGAGTCCCTGCTGAATTTCTTGGATAGCTTTTCAAATACTTGCTTCTATTCTGAGAGTTCCTAGGGTTTTTTTCCTCTCCCTTTCATCTGCAAGGCATGTTTCAATTTGCAGGTTTTGTGGATGTTGCAATTTGTAGTTTTCTGGTCTGTCAGGATGTGGTTGAGATTACAAATATTTGTGGTATATAGGGTTTTCGTGTTTAGCTCACTGAAAGAGTGTTCTCCACCCTCCTTCCCGTTTTGCACCTCCCAATGTTCTTTGTTCACCTTGTTCGTGTCACAGGAATTTGACATTTTATAACCCGTAGCTACAATTTGGCTGTGCGGAATGCTCAGTCAAATGACTCTGGAATGGACAGGTTGGATTATACTTTAAGGATAGATAAGTTGTACTGTATTTCACTTCTTATAGTTCCAATAGTTTTATCTTTGTACTTCTCAGGATAGTGTAGCGTGATTAGAGGCAGTTTAAGAATAAAATACTTTAAGAAACAGACGAATTATGTCAGCCATGGGGTGAGAGTAAAGTAATACTAAGTAATGGATCCAAGTAATTTTTAGTGACAAGGTAGAATTGATCCAAGTCTACAGGAAGGTAAGGGAGGGATCCCTGAAGACCACCCTCAGAAAGTGTTTGATGTAGGGGGAGCAGCTAGGGGTCAATATCAGGTGGGATGGCATTAGGCACATTTAAAGAACAAGATAGATGACCAGTTTTCTGGAGAAAGGGATCTTGAGGTGGACAGAGAAAGTAAAGTGAGCAGACCGAGTGTGTCATTCTGAAAATCATTGTAAGGACTTGAGTCGTTTTTCTCTGTGAGGAGGAGGGCAACTGGAAAGTGACATGGTAAGGCTTAATGTTTCGAAAGGAAAGGATCGTTCTTGCTGCTGTTTGAAAATTGTCATTGCTGATAAAGACCAAAATGGAAAGATAGAGGCAAATTCTGTGACTCTTTCAGCAATCGAGGAGAAAGATTATGTTTTAAATTATGTTTTAAATTTATTATGGCTTTTTTTTGTTTGGGGGCCACATCCAGCAATACTCAGGGGTTACTCCTGACTTTGCACTTAGAAACTGCTCCTGGTGGTGCTCAGGGGACTCTGTGGGATGCTGAGAATCAATCCTGGATCAGTCATGGGCAAGGCAAGCGCCCTACCTGCTGTACTATTGCTCTGGCCCTTCTAAGTTTTTGTTTTCTCTCTTTTTTTTTGGTCACACCTGGCGATGCACAGGGGCCACTCCTGGCTCTGCACTCAGGAATTACCCATGGCGGTGCTCAGGGGACCATATGGGATGCTGGGAATCGAACCTGGTTCGGCTGCGTGCAAGGCAAACGCCCTACCCGTTGTGCTATCGCTCCAGCCCCAGTTTTTGTTTTCTTTTTAATTATTATAGTACATTTGAAATATTTACAATAATATTAACATTTTTTTTGGTTCTGATGTACATAATCAGTGCATTTTCAAAGTGCCCAATATCCTCCACCCTTTATTACTTTGAGTCCATCTCTCCATTCTCTCCTCTTACACCTTCCCCCTTTGGTAATCTCAGTTCTGTAATCCAAAGCAAAGGGTTTATTATTGTTTGATACTCTCTGTTCCCTTTTTATGTTTCTCTGTATACCACAGATGGCTGTGATCACCCAGTATTTGTTCTTTTTCTCTGACTTATTTGCTGCACCCGAGTTTGCCCAAAACTCAGTGAGAGTCTCCAAGACCAAAATAGGAGAGATAGATAGGAAGTTCTATTTGTCCAGTACACAGTGCAGTGAGTCAAGGCCTCGTATTCTTGGCAAGTGACTCAAAGACTGCAATCACATTTGTACCCTCACGCTACATTCCAGTGTGTAGTAAAATAAAGCATCAATTAAAGCATGCCAGGCTAACTGCAATCAGTATTGCTTGTACTCAACGAGGTCGAAAAGTTATGGCTACAGTCACATGATCAACAGGGGGGGAAATAGCTTCTTTTACCCTGCTCAGGGTCAGAGCATACTTTTCTCTGGCTTAGCAGAGAGTCAGTACAGATGGTTGCTGGAAAATTCCAGGGTCTAGAGGGAGTTACAGAGTCAGCAGAGTTACAAAGTCAGCACATATGGGTGCCCATAAATCTCAGGGACAAACTTTCCTGAAATTTGTTTTTGGGCCACACATGACGGTGCTGAAGGCTTACTCTTGGCTCTGCTCTCATGGCTCAGGTGGGCCACATGCCAAACAAATGCTACCTGCTATACTATCTCTCCAGCCCCTTAACAACACACTTTTAACCTTCCTTTATTTGGCCCAGTGGTACATGGATAAAGTTTTATTTCCTAATTCAATATAATAGTAGTCTATATATAACAATTTCACTTAACATGATAGTCTACAGTTCTATTTGAATTGCAATGAACTGCAAGATTTCACCTTTTTGTATAGAGCTGTATAGTATTTCATGGTGTATATGTCACACTGCTTCTTTGTCCATTCATCTGACCTTGAACACTTGGGTTGTTTCCATGTCCTGGCTACTGTGCTAAGCACTGGAGCTCATTAGGGATGTGTAGTTAGATTAGATGTGTATATCAAAGGAAAAATTAGACTAGAACCAAGTGTTTTCACCCAAGAATAAAAAAGAATGAGTTGTCATGAGATGGAAAAGTTTTGGGAAAACAAGTTCTCTTCTGGAAATGTTGAGTGAATGATGATGTCCCCTGGCCATCCCTGTGGAGTTTCAGTAAGGCAGTTGGAATCTAAGCACATGTGGAGTTCTAGAGAGAGGTGTTCAGTGGCGGTACAGATCTAGAAGTAGTATGACATGCATTAGTAACCAAATGGCACATAACTGAAAAGGTGACTTCTTGCTCTTTAGAGCAAGAAGGGAAAGACTACTCAGATCATTGTATTTTTTTTTCTTAAATTTTTATTAGTGAAACGCCATGAGGTACAGATGTAGACTTACAAATTTTTGTGTTTGGGTTTCAGTTGTACAATGATCAAGTATCCATTCATTCCTCCACCAGTGCCCACTGTCCACCACCACGGATCCCAGTATCCCTCCCCCCTCCCATTCCCCCCCACCCCTTCCACCATGCCTCTGTGGCAGGGCATTCCCTTTTGTTCTCTCTCCTTTTGGGTGCTGTGGTTTGCAAAAGAGGCATTGAATGACAATCATGTTCGGTCTATAGTCTACTTTCAGCATGCATTTCCCATCCTGGGAGGATCCTCCCAACACCCTTTACTTGGTGCTCCCTTCTCTGTTTGAGCTCCCTTTTCCCCTAGCATGTGAAAGCCACAATTCTATGTAGCTGTCATCCAGGCTTCGTGCTTAATTGTATCCTATTATGGATTTCTACCCAAAGAAAAGTTTTTATAGTCTGAAGTCCCCCGGATAGATCAGGTCTTGAAAGAAGGGCAGAATTTAGGGAAAGGAAATAGGGAGAATGTTCTCATGCAAGGAGCAAACAAATTGGGGGTAATATATTTAGTTGGAAAGAAAATCTTTGAAGAAAAGCTTATAAATTTAATTCAGTCATTTGTTTGTTTGGTTGGGGGAGTATGCCTGGCTGTGGTTAGGGCTTCCTCATGACTCTGAGCTGAGGGGTCACCCCG